AATTTCTCAGATAAGTAACACTCACTGGCTCATGAGGTACTTTACAGAATTTAGATAGACGTTACTTGTATTCCTTTATGCAATGATAGAGTCCTAACAGATATAAACTTAGGTTTGCTCGTTACATATAGAGACTCAACCTTGTAGTTCTGACTCAGAGAGGTACGATTGTATTCTAGAGGCATGTACTGATCAAACATCTTTTTTTTAAATTCGACCGACCGGTGTATCTTGAAAAATTTGGCTCAACCATAGCTTTGATACCAATAAATGTAACCCCCTCAGACCGATGCGGGTAACCTGATCCGATCTGGAGTGTCATATTATGTCCACCGGAGCGACCCACCGTAAAAATAGCGAAAAATTTAAAACTTTTATTAAAACGTGTAAACTCATAAAATGATTTATCAATATGCATAAATAAAAAAGATTCTCAGACTTGTATATAAAACAAAATACAATTACATACCCCCTAATTACATGTACCATACTCTGCAAGCAACGCCGAAAGAACTCCCTTACTGAAGTCGATAGTTGCACTAATACAATTTTCTTTTCCTGCTATAGTGAGTAATAAAGTGAGCTTCGAAAAGCTCAGTAATACAGAACTACTAGATGATGCTGAAGAATATGCAGATACAAATAAACATATATTTCCTTATTGGTTCATATGTCTACAGATCTTTATGTTGAGCGAAAATCCTACTAATATTTCAGGTGGTAACGGACAATGAGCTTTCAATTCAGATAAATATTTCGAATGACTGAGTTCAGGAGATCAGAATAGGTTATCTAGTGTGTTCCCGTAAAACATTTAAAATAGTTATGTTTTTTAAAATCAGTACAAATCACAGTTATTAAAACATCATAGGAGTTTTGAAATTTAAAAACTCTGAATTGTCCTCCAACCGAATGCCATGTGCAGATCCTCAGAATTGCACAACCTAAGGGAGTACCTTGGGGCCTGCGAGCCTACCTAAGAATATTCTCGGGGTCGCAGAGCCTACCCAAGGGTTGCCTTAGGTCTATAAGGAATTACCAGTCGATGCTGAACCTATCCGAGGAATTACCAACAGCGACTGGCCTGCCAGAGTCTTCATACCAAAACCCAGAGTGCCCCGAATAAAATATTTTTCTTCAGTAACGGAGATATCAGAAATCAGAACATAAATCAGAGCAGAAATCATAACAGAATTCAGAGCAGAAACCAGATAAAATATTCATATGATCATGGAACATACTAGAGATTACAGTTATGGTTCGGAGGTACTGGATAATCTTATTGGACATAGAAACAGGGATCTTTAGTGTATCGATAGAATGTCAGAAATTAAAATCACTATTAGAATAGTTCATTATCTGATGGGAACATTGATTATTCAGAACGTAACGTATCAGGATCATTTAGTATTCGGACAGTTTTCATAAGCACAAGTATTCAGAAAGTTTTTTAGAATCCTTTGCTTATGGGTTACTTATTTTTAATATATAACCAGAGTGATTTGAGTTGTTAAGGGAAAATGAATATTCATGACATTTACCATCTATGTCGATCGATCGGATTATTGAACAACTCGAGCTGAATCACTTCCAGAACTGATACTTGTCGACTGATCAATTCATTGCCCTTCTAGGGTATTCAATCATTCCTGGGCTTAGTGATATTCTTGGGTCATTTGCATTCTAGGGGTATTTTGATCATTTTATAGATCTAGGGTATTTCAATCCTTTCATTCCGTCCGGTCTTATTATTTAATTCAAACTTATCTTTTACTTCAGTCCTTTTGAACAATTCTGACCAAAAGAGCACCATCGATAAATTATTCTTTAGGTATTTATTCATAACTCGAAGATTTTCGGGTCAATTACCTTCATAGATTTTACAAACGGAATATCATAAATGTTCTATACAAAGACATGATCTTAATAATTAAAACTTTAATTCATCGGTTTAAGCATGAATCCTTAGGGTACTTTCTCAGTCAGGGTCAACTCAGAATATCTTTACCACTCAAGGGTATTTTCGTAATTTCACCTAATCGAAGTATTCTAATAATTTATCACTTAAACCGTATTCGGTTTGAATCCATCCATAATCAAACAGGCATAGTAGACCAATCATATATATTATATCCATGCATTTATCCATTATCAACATGTTCCATAAAGCATAAAGAGGTAGTAATATATTACCTCGATTTCCATGCCATACTGTTCGACCATTTAAATTTCATTCGAACGCCCTCGATCCTTAATTCAACTTCCAATAATTCCTCAAATACATAACAATATAAATTTCATAAAAAAAACGAGGCCTAATTCCGAAAAATAGATTGAATCAGGTGATAAATCAGTGAAAAATAACTTATCGGGTTCGAATTTGGCGAAACAGACCCTAAAAATAGACTCAAAACATTGAAAATGTCAAGATAGGTGTACCCGAAAAAAGTCAACGTCGATCAAAGTTCTGGTCAATGGAAATCAACGGTCAACGCGGTGAATGGTCAACGGTCGGTCAACGGGTCAGGTCGGGTTGGGTCAAACGGGTTGGGTCAAAATTGGGGTTAAACTGCCCCAACAGTTTTCGAAGCTCCCCCACTCGCAGGGACGGCACGTGGGGGTGCGTGAACAGTGCTACGGTTTCTGAAAAATTCCTAAAAAATTTCTAAAAATTATTTTAAGGCATTTTGAGACACTTACCAAGCTCGGTTCATAATTTTGAACGGCGGAGAGCACGATTCTGAAATATTGAAAACTTTGGCCTCCTCACCCCTCCAACCGTTGGCAACGACAGAGACACAGAAGACACCGGTGAACTCAAAACGATGTAAGGAACACGATGGTGTGGGAGGTGTCGAAAACGGGTGCCCAGATCGACGTTAATCGACGGAAAACCACCGAATATTGAATTAAAACCGACGATACTTCCGATTAAGATTTACGAAAACGACGACGATTCACGACGAAAGGTTTGAGGGGTTTTGTTCATCGGTCGACAACGAACACAATGGTGGTTTCAGTTAGTCGAATGGTGGCCGTACGGTGAATAAATCGGAGCTCAAAGGAGGGTCAACGGGGGAGGGAAATGGGAAAATGCAATATGCAAAACTGATTGCACAGGGAGAGAGTTTATAATTCTCTCCTAAAGAAAAATGGGTAAATTCAGAACTGGGTCACTGAAGTTCTTGCACTTTATAAAATGTTCTGCCAACTTTATGATTTTTACAATTTAATCCTCAATTTCTTCCAAAATACCAATTAAATCCAATAATTTATAATTTCTAAATTTTAGCCCCTAAATTGGGGTGTTACAATTAGATAAGTGAAAATAGATGACTGAGACTGACTCATTTTTTTCTAGTGAAAATATTCTCATTTCATACTGTTAATCTCAACTATCTTCATCCAATGTCTTAAATCCGTGTAAAAACTTAAGAAAAAAAAATTATATTGTGTAAAAATTATCATATTATATATATATATATATATATATATAAACTCAAATCTCATATTAGATAACTTTTAAATGGAACTATCAATACAGATTTTAGAACGAAGATAAGAGTCAATACAACTATTAATGTGATTATTCCAATTATAGTTAGTATCATACAAGTTAAAATCATAATGGGGATCATCACTTTTTGATCCATTATTCATATAAATAGAATTAAGATAACTATAAAAAAAATTCTAGTTCACTCAAAAAAGAATGATCATTGTTAATCTCAAAAATTTGAGTTTTACTATCAAAATATATGGAATAACTATCTTGATTACTATCCTTAATTAAAAAGGTGTCATCAGAAATGAAATTTTGAATGTCTTTGACGCCAACTAAATGATCAACCTTACTGTAATAACTAGAGTTGTCACTACAATCATGAATGTTTTTATCCGTATCATTTCTAGCCGGGTCTTCGTTTACACTAGTATTTTCAATAGGACCGAGGCTATTCATTGATTTACTTAGCCCGCATCTGTATTCTAATTCCCCCTTAGACAAGATCAAATTGAACCATGTTTTTTCCATAGAGCTATCATACTTATAAATCAAATAATGATATATATTTAAGAATATTCCAATCAATAATCTTCGGAATATTATAATAACAACTATATCAATCGATCTAAAAATCAATTTAATATTTTAATAATAACCTGGTAACAATAATTTAAACGTAGTAATTATTGTCAACTTTCCTAAGTGCAAGGCTAAACAAACTTTCCCAGGTGCCAAAAACAGTAACAATCTTGCTTATATTCCAGGAAAGAAATAACATGCACGCATCTGGGTGTTGAAAGGCAACTTTGATAAATAAAATTAACAAAACTAATTATATAGTGTAAAGTTTTTTTAGTTTTATACAATTTTAGAATTGTTAAATGAGTGAAAATAAACGATCAAGATTAACAATATGAAATAAGAAGATATTCATAGAAAAAGAAAATGAGTTAATCTTCACTCATCCAATGACCCTAAAAGGAATTTACCTTGTGTACGTAGATCCTAACAATATATATAGGGTTAGGATCCACTTATACAGTGTAAAACTCTTTTAGTTTTATACAGATCTAAGACCGTTGGATAAGTAAAAATATATGACTGGGATTAACCATTTGTTTTGTTTTTTTATGATTGAATATCTTCGCATTTTCTACTGTTAATCTCAATAGTTTATTTTCACTCATTCAACGGTCTTAAATTTGTATAAAACTAAAAGAATTTTACATTTTATAATAGGATCCTATCACATTTCTCATATATTAAATAATAATATTAATTAAATTAAACTCATTAAGCACACATATATAATTTATTTCCTCGTTTTATTTATCATTCTTTACATTCAAATAACTGATTTAATCTCATTAATAATTTGTTTTAATTTAATATAATTTATTTATATAATTTTATTAATAAATCCATATTAATCTCATTATTATTTATTATCATCAAAGAAATAATATAAAGTTTTCACCATCATCCAATCACGTAATAAAAAAATGAAAATTCAATCAATCATTTAAATCAAATCTAGAATATAAATGGTTGAGTTTATTACAATTTTTATTTTACTAAGGGACGACACCAGGGGCTGACAGCGGCCTTAGCTCTCCTTGGTTAGGTTAAACAGTCCTTTTAATCCTTAAATATATAAAATTTTATTAAATAAAGAGGTAAATATTCACTTTTGGTCCCCCTTATTTTGGAGGAGCGGTGCACTCTTTAGGAAGTCCAGTAGCAGCGAAGCGATTGGTGTCAGTGCAATAGTTGTAGATCATGTGCTTTTTCTGGATATCTTGGAGCTTCTGTTTGGTGGCGACATCGAGTTCTTCTGTCATCCATGCTGCGCTGCTGGGACATGAAGATTTGCCGTTAGACCAGACGCAAACCTCGGCTTTGTAACGCCTATAAGACGCGGTGAAAGGAGCTAGGTTATAATCCGTCTTGACTAGCCCGCCACGAGTCGCCCAATCGTCGGCGTTCCAAAAACTTGCATACATTCTCATCGGCTGTTTCGTTGGGAACGGAACGCCCATCGATTCCATGTTGTTGAACTCTCTGATCACGGTGTTGTCGACGGAGAAACTGTTTGAGTACCAACATTTGAGAAGAAATGAGAATCAAACAATGGGAATAGGTTAGTAAATTAATCACAATAAACCTTACATGATGCGTTTAGGGTTCCAAAGAATAGTGTAGGTATGGAAATCTTGGGAGGGATCGAACCAAAGGTGAAATTGTTGCTCTCTGTCACCTTTTCCTCCGCAGTACACATTGGTGTGAATCGTAATCGGTTGGCCGGTCGAGTTTCCCAAGAATTCGAAGTCGATTTCATCCCAAGTTTTGCCGTGTGAACGAAGCTGTAACATTGACAACATTAAATTACTGTAAGACGAGATGTTATAAATAAAAAAATAAATCGAATAAAGAAACATAACATTATGTCATGTCAAAGTGTAATCACTAGACTTAACGAGTCTTGAGATTAAAAAAATCACTATTAGAAGTTGTACACTCGAAATTTGAAGTGAACAATAATGATATTACTCTTTCTCTAAAAACCGAAATCATAAAGAAATTATAGAGAAACACTTGTTTTTCCGATGTGGGATTTACATGTCTTACCATCTTTAACATTACCCAGAGAGAAAACGTTGGTTTGATTATAACTTACGTAATACGTCGTGACAAGGCCGGCAGAGTTGCCTGGAACCAGCTTAATGCTCATCTCGATCTTCCCGAAGAGGTATTCGTCCTTGGATTCGAAACCGGAACCGCTCCATTTGTCGAGGGTGAGAGTAAGAAGCTCGCCGTTCTCGAGAATCTTACCTCGGCCGTCTCCCCAGGTGATGTTTACGTCGTTGTGGAAGTTGGCGGATGAAGCAACCACCAAAGTGGCCAGTACAGATAGTACCAAACCAAATGAAGAACTCATCATAGAATTCTACGTTTGTTATTTTTCCTTTATTGTTTGGGGTTTTTGATTTGATTTTTGATGTTTTGGAATTGGTATTGTTATATAGCGGAGGATTGGGATGTTCGGTGCTCGGCGTTTCCGTCTGAACTTCTGCAGAACCGTTCAACCAAATACTGTTGCTTAAGAATAGGCCATCGGTCAGAGCAAGTAATGGCCATGTTTTATTCTTTATTCCCGGAAAATTTTGTCCATAATTATTTAGGGTAAAGTATATATATAGTCCATAAACTATATATTAAAAGTTAAAAAAAGTCTCATGATAATATATCGTTATTTTGTTGAGTCCTCGGACTATTAAAAGTTACAAAATGATCATCTAACTATTCATATGTTCCAAACTTGTTTATTTCTGTTAAAAAATTGATGTCAATCTGAGCTGAACGTTAACCTGTTGGCCGAGATATGACAAATCATATTTAAATGATGTCTAATGGCATTGACTTTACTTTTAAGCACCAACTTTACTTTTAAGCACTGACACAACGACATAATATTTTAAGTACCAACTTAAGAACATAATATAAACAGAAAATTGATCTACAAAATACACTCAAATGGTTCTATGATTGTATTTTATAACATATTAATCATATGTTAACATCTATCTCACGACCGATAATTTTTTAACAAAAAAATGTTAGAAAAATTAATAAATAATATTTGATGTATTTTAATAATAAGTTATGTCACTTGGTGAACAGACTTATTATTTGGTATAAAATTGCATCAATTCAATTATACCTATTAGCTTTTCAACAATTCTCTTCATCAAAAGGTCATAACCTTTTGATTAATTTCGTCTCCCCTGTATATAGGTTAGTTGAGGCACAATCTTAAAAACAATTTTGAGAGACAACTTTGAGACACAATTCACAAAGTTGAATTAGGAAACCACTTAGAAAATTCTTTTCAAATTCGTTCTTTCCGGTGATAGAGAAAGACAAGATTGTGTTCGACTGATCACTACGGTTGTGCTTACTGTTGTGATCGTTTGTTGTTTTATCCTGGGAGATCGACGTCCAACGTTACTCAAAGCACCGAGGAGATGATGAATCTGTCTTAAGGAAACTGTTCATACATGCCTCAACAAAAATCCTTCTTCGGTTTATCATATTCTACTCATCTGATTCATTGTCTAAATATGAGTAAACCAATTTCTTGCCTCTATTTTAAATTTTATTTATTTTGTTTCGTTCGATTATATAATATTTATTATTATTTTTATCTCGGATTAACAATTTTGTCTAACAATCTTAAGATAAATTCTATATTTTATTTTACAATTCTAATCCGAGATGAACTTTATACGTAATTGGTTGTGGCAATTTGCGTCATTGAAATTCTCAGTGGAGCAAGTTGGATTGAAAGAACATTCACATGTGAAAAACCCTCAGAAAATCACTGGATAGTTATTTTCGTGCTCCAATCCTTGAAGAAATTGAAGTGATGAACACAAAAAGTAGGGTCCAATTAACTTTGTGTTATGATTCCATAACCTTTTGCAGGTTCAAAGAGAAGAACCTCTATTATCATCCAGTCTACGAGACTATAACTGGAACAAGTTTTAGAAACCTACGTTATCTCTAATATCTTGCCTATGAAAATTCACAATGCAAATTGAATGTATGTGGAGCCCAGAGTTTCAGTTAACGTGTGAAACTACGATACAAAGAACCAACGTTGTGGAGTCCTTTGTTTCTTGCCTACACCTTCACACGCGTCATTCGGTGCACACCTTGTCATTTGGTTGTGCTTTGTGGATAGCGTGAGGGTTGGTTATTTGTGGTAGCAAATACAATTTGCCATGTTTAGCTTTGAACTCTCAAAGCAACTTTTGTCCTTTGTGAGGGCGCACCACCCACAAGTTAATGATCTTAGTTTTGGTTGGCAACGATGAATTCATAATACTGATCAAGAAATCGAAAAGGTACATAGAACCATTCATATTTGTTGTATAATATATGTACATTGAGATTATACTATTGTTTCGGGTTTTATTAAATCCCCACCGATCAACAGAAGTAGTTATATTTCGAGAATTAATTTATTAAATTCTTGTCATTTAACAGAAATTGGTTCTGTTTTGGGTTTTATTCCTATTGTCCAACAGAAGTTGGTTTTGTTTCGGATTTTAACTTTAAATCCTGACATTTAACGGATTCAACAAAATAATGTTGGTTGTACATTTCTGTTTCGGGTTTTAGTTTTACTAAATTCTCTCCGTTTAACAGAAATTATTTAATTGTTGGATTTTAGTTTTGACTAAAATTTGTTGTGATAAATAAGATACCGAGCGTAATTATGACATGTCTTTGGACAAAAATCGGGCCTATAATTCGTTTCAAGATTTAATCCTGTTGTTCAACAAAATTTATTGATTTACTGTTGATAACAAAAATCGTTTGGAGATAACAATATTGTTACAAATTCTATTTTAGAATTTTAATTTCTAATTAAATTTTGTTGTTTAACAGAAACAAATGGTAAAATAAATTGAATTAACTTTCAATTTATTGTTGGAATATTTACAAATTATGGTTACATGTTTTAAACGAAACAATGGTAACCCCACTGATTCACCTAACTCGTGATTTGAAATGTTGATTTCTATTCACTTTGAATAAAATTCAACGATGTCAGTGGTTGTGAACCACAACGAGAAGAATGAGAAATTCATGGATAGAATTTCAAGACATAAGCGACGTAAGATTTTTTATTTAATCATGTTAAATATGGTCAAATGTAGGATGATCCTCCTATTCATAGAGAGGATGAGATAGACATTGTTTTCATTAAAGCTTGAAACCTTTATAAGTTTCAATGTCGGAATTACATCTTGAATGGATTGTCAGATACACCATATGAAGTGTACAATATCCATAAGATTGCTAAAGAATTATGAATGACATTTGGTCATGTTTTGAGTTGTCATAGAACATGTCGAAAAAGCTATTTTATTAGCAAATTACCTTTAAATAAGGTAACTTACAAGAAAATAGGCATATGAGTTATGGAAATGTAGAAAACTTTCCTACAATTACATCAAAGTGTAGGGGTGCCTTGTATAAGTATAATGGTAAGTTGAGACACATACGTCGTCAATATAATATCATTAAACAATTGATCTCAACTAGAGTTATCTATATTGATTTTGTAAGATCAAAAGATAACATTATGGATCCGCTAAACAATGAGTTGAATCGAGATCAAGTTGATAAACATCGAAAGGAATGTGACTAAAGCCCATTAATGTTTAAGGCGCTATGTGAAGGAAAACCCAACTTAGTTGACTGGAGATTCCAAGATCTAAGTTCAATGGGAAAACCTACTTGCATAGACCTTGTGAGGTCACTATGGGGGTTCTTATCCCCAAGTCTATTCCTATGATAAAAACAGTGACTAAAATGTGGAAAAGGTTAAGCATTGCTTTTAATGACCACTATGTGTTTCGGTGAGCCGAACAACATAAGTCACCTATGTGAGAGTGAAGTGGAGCTGCTTCAAAGAGACTATTGGGGCATAGTTCTCTAAACTCTTGCAGAACTAGGAGATGTCCACGGCTATATGGACATAACCATGAGAACCAAATTCTTGTCAGTGAGATATTTGTGTGAGGTATGTCATCGCTTACACCAACGGCATGGCAGTTCAAGGACATCACGTCTACTGGACTGCCAGTAAGGTAAACATATTTTCACAAGGGAATGTTAAAAGGGGAACGCCTACATATCCTATGCAAATATCGAACATAGAATCTATCACCATATCGAGTCAATGTTTGAAATCATCAATTTCATTCATGTGGGGGATTGTTGGAAAAAATTAATAAATAATTTAATAAAATTGATGTCTTTTAATAATAAGTTATGTCACTTGGTGAACAGACTTATTATTTGGTATAAAATTGCATCAATTCAATTATACCTATTAGCTTTTCAACAAATCTCTTCATCGAAAGGTCATAACCTTTTGATTAATTTCCTCTCCCCTATATATAGGTTAGTTGAGGCACAATTTTAGAAACAACTTTGAAAGACAACTTTGAGACACAATTCACAGAGTTGAATTAAGAAATCACTTAGAAAATTCTTTTCAAATTCGATCTTTCTGGTGATAGAGAAAGGTAAGATTGTGTTCGACTGATCACTACGGTTGTGCTTACTGTTGTGATAGTTTGTTGTTGTATCCTGGGAGACCGACGTCCAACGTTACTCAAAGCACCGAGGAGAGGACGAATTTGTCTTAAGGAAACTGTTCATACATGCCTCAACAAAAATCCTTCTTCGATTTATCATACTCTACTCATCCAATTCATTGTCTAAATATGAGTAAACCAATTTCTTGCCTCTATTTTAAATTTTATTTATTTTGTTTCGTTCGATTATATAATTATATTTATTATTATTATTATTATTAAAATCGCCTCAGTGACCAAAAATGCCTTATAATATACGATTTTAACCAACTTTTTTTGGATTTGCCAAAATGACCAACAAAATCGCAACGCGAAATAAAAATCGCAACGCGATCCCCAGAATCGCAAATCAGTTTCCAAAATCGCAACGCGATTCTTGAAAATCGCAATGCGATAGTACAAATTCGCATTGCGATTTTCAAGAATCGCAACGCGAATATGAAAATCGCAACGCGAACACATAAATCGCAACACGTATCCGTAAATCGCAACGTGTATCCGTAAATCGCAACGCGTATCCATAAATCGCAATGCGTATCTGTATATCGCAACGCGTATCCGTAAATCGCAACGACAATACGTAAAATCGCAACGCGTATCCGTAAATCGCAACGATAATCCGTAAATCGCAACGAGAATCTGTAAATCACAACACTGAAATTTTGGGTATATAACTACGCAACAGCAGCAAATCATAAACTAAATCCCTAAATCGCAACTCATTCCATCTCCATCTATCACTCTCTCCGGCGACATCCGTTCCTATATCCAATGACATCCTTCCCAATCCGGCAACAGGTTTTAGTTTCGCAGCTCGTCTGTTTAGTAAATTAATTTACAACCATGAAATCATCTAATGTTGATCATGTTTGGATAGATTTGTGTTTTGGAGGGTCATGGGATAATGTTCATGGTGTTTTACAATATAT